TCCATCCATCATCCATCCATCTATCCATTCATCATCCATCCATCCATTCATCCATCCATCAGTCCATCATCCATCCATCCATTCATCATCTTTACCCACTTCTTCCTTTTTGGGTTGCGGGGGTCACTGGTGTCCATATCCAGCCCTCACTGTGCAAGGCAGGGGACACCTGGACAGACCTCCAGTCCAATTTATGTTTATATGAAATGTCATTTTGTGTTTGACTTTTTGAAACTTAATAAACAATAAATGATGCTAAAAGAAAATAGAAGATCCATCTTCCATCCAGCCATCAATCCATACATCCATCATCCATCAATCATCCATCCATCATCCATCCATTATCTGGCTCTGGACTCAGGTCTCGGGGCAGCATCTTGATCAGGGAGGTCCAGCCGCCTCTTCCAGCTCCTCTAGAAGGACTCCAAGGTGTTCCAGACCAGCTGGGAGACACAGTCTCTACAGGGTGTCCTGGGTCGTCCTCAGGGTCTCCTCCCAGTTGGACTTGTCCATCCTTACCAGATGAACCTCCTCACCTGTCTCCTCTGGATGTGGAGGTGCAGTGGTTCTTCTCCGAGTCTCTCCTGGAGAACTGAACTTCTCACCTGATCTCTGCAGAGAGAACTCATCTAGACCCCCTGGATCCAAGATCTGGTTCTGGTCTTAACCCATGTGGCCCAGAAGGACTCTGAATATTATTAAAAACTAAAGAACTAATAAACCTTTATTCATCCAACGTTAATAAAGTTTGTTACCACATAAATATATATTGTATTTAGCCAACTTTTATTATTATTATTATTATGTTGTTGTTGTTGTTGTTGTTGTTGTTGTTGTTGTTGTTGTTGTTGTTGTTGTTGTTGTTGTTGTTGTTGTTGTTGTTGTTGTTATCTGGTGTGGATTTTGAACCCAGACAGGACTTGAGGAGCTGGAAGGATAAAATAAAAAATAATATTTATTTAACAAAAAGGCAGAAAAACTGACATGTTGAGACACGCAGGAGACAGAGCATGATGTCTTCACAGGACAGTCCATGGACAGGAGACAACGAGACACAGAACTTACAGGGACACTGACGAGGGGACAATCACAAACACCTGGACAGGGACAACGAGGGACAGCTGAGCTGACAGAGGCTGATTACATGAAGGAAGAACACAGAGGAAACAGAACCTCTCAACTATTATTTTATTATTATATTTTATTTTTATTTTATTATTATTTTATTTTATTATTATATTTTATTTTTATTTTATTCACTCCAGTTTCCTCCCACAGACCAAAAACCTGCATGTTAGACTGTTTGTCTCGTTTGTCTCTATGTCCCTGTGATGGACTGGAGACCTGTCCAGGTGGATCAGATCTGGATCAGATCAGGATCAGATCTGGATCAGATCAGGTTCAGATCTGGATCAGATCAGGTTCAGATCTGGTTCAGATCTGGATCAGATCTGGATCAGATCAAGTTCAGATCAGGATCAGATCTGGTTCAGATCTGGATCAGATCAGGTTCAGATCTGGTTCAGATCAGGATCAGATCTGGTTCAGACCTGGATCAGATCTGGATCAGATCAGGTTCAGATCTGGATCAGATCAGTTCTTTAGCTCAGACCTGGAGGTCTCCTGCCTCTGGGTCATTCAGCGGATCTTCCGGGAAACCTGCAGAACCGGTTCCTTTGTCTCGGAGCGGCTCTTTGATCCAGCAGGAGGACCAGATCCTCCATGGTCCCACCTCAGACCTGCTCAGGTCTTGTTACCGCCGCGGCTCCGGACTCTCGGACCAGGAAGCAGCACTTTGCTCCTCAGGTGAGGGGGCGGAGCCACGGAGCCTCCTTACCTGCACACTGTTCGGTCGCTGCAGAGTTTGGATCGAACCGACACCGAGCGCTCCGGGATCGTCCAGGTACAGACACAACCCGGGTCCTGGTCTTCAGGTGTGTGGGGTTCTCAGCCCTCTGGATGAGGTCCAGAAGAAACCTGGACCCACGATGTTTCCAGAACCTGAAAGAGGTTCTGATGAGGAAACCAGAACCATGAAGTGACTCCGGAGCTCCACCATCCGGTCAGGTAACAAGTTCATGTTTTACTTCAAACCTGAGAGGAGCCGCCGCGGGATGCTTGTCGCCCGCCCTCATATGGCCGCCTCAGAGCGCGTGCTGGGGAGGACTCTCAGCTACTCCAAGTCTGTTACTGTTGTGTTCATTAGCTGTGGCAGCCATCTTGTTTTAGACATAAATCTGGTGATTAGTGGACTCGTTCAGGGGTTTGAGTTATTTCGCTAACAGAACAGAAAACATGATCCTCCATAAAACCATCAGGAGGTCCTGAAAGACTCCAAGACCCCCAGAACATCTGGGAGGAAGGAGAGGAGCCAAGACGGGAAGAAGTCTGGACTGTCTGAAACATCTGCTTCAGAGCTGGGTCACAGCTGAGTCACAGCCGGGTCACAGCTGAGTCACAGCCGGGTCACAGCCGGGTCACAGCTGGGTCACAGCCGGGTCACAGCCGGGTCACAGCCGGGTCACAGCTGGGTCACAGCTGGGTCACAGCCGGGTCACAGCTGGGTCACAGCTGAGTCACAGCTGAG